TTAATTAAGGGATATTGGGTTCTCTGGGTGGCTGTGCTTAAAGGCATACTGTTTCGGGTTTAGGGGTTTAGGGGTTTAGGGCTTTAGGGGTTTAGGGGTTCAGGGGTTCAGGGGGTTTAGGGTTTCGGGTTTAGGGTTTAGACCTTAAGGACCTCAAACGATGGGAATTGTGGCATTTTCCTTAGTGTGGGTAATGCAGGATTTATATCATCAATCGTAGCACGGAATCGTTCGTTTAGGTTTTTGGGCTTTAGGGTTTAGGGTTTAGGTGTGTAAGGTTAAGGAGTTAGGGATTCGGGTTTCGGCACTCACGCTCGGACGGTTTAGGGTTTAGGGCATTTTTTTCGAGTTTCGACTCTCACACTCGCACAAGGCAGGCAAGGCTCCACACAATTTTTTGCGAGTTTAGGGCTAGCGCTTGTTGTTGGGTTTAGGGTTTATGGACTCCTTTAAAGATTCTATAACGGTTCTATCTAGGATATAGAGGGTATAGGGGCTTGAATAACTAGAAGTGTAGTATGACTTCAGTTCGGAGCCCTAAGGAAAAATTTTGATAAATGACTGGCCCCTTAGTTTCCTATGATTGTAGCAAAGAGCCCTAAGGAAAAATTGTTGACTGACAACTGGCCGCTGTGTTTAGGCTTAGGGAAAAACCCTAAACCCTTTTCGGTGCTGGACTCAAGTCGGCCTCAATCAAGAAAAAAACCTAAAACCCTTTTTTGCAACTGGCCTGCTGCGACTCTGCCTAAAACCCTAAACCCCACATCCTTTGCATCAGGCTTCTCCACCCGGGACTGCCTTCACCATGAACCCTAAACGTGCTATAGAGATTTTGAGTAATTAGAACAGGGTTGTTGGGGTGTATTCATACTAAGATAGTCATAATTAGAACCGGGTTTTGGGGTATACTGCAATACTACAGATATAAAAAGGAGCCCAAAATAGTATTGGTAAATATTTACGCTCCGAATATTGCTTGAACTTTAGAAATGTCTACGGATACGGTTCAGGAACCATGATGCAACTGATGCGGCTTCGGCGCATGTCTGCCAAAAGGGACACGTGGGCTATGCCGCCTATGCTCATGTGGATGAAATCCGTTCATCTTGAAACGACAATCCGGACAGTGTTAGATTCTAGTGTAATATAGTAATATTCTGACATAATGTGTTATAGTCTGTTGTGTCGTATAATTTCTTGGAGAAGTGGACCAAGTTCGCCAGACTTGACAACCCCAGCCTGAGCAACACCAGCCTGCGATCTTGTTCCGCGAAGACAATCAGCCCTGACAGGACCCATACTCCCAGAATTAAGCCTCGAAAGACAAAACTACAAAAATCTACACACAAAGTATTAACAATCAGAGAAAGTAGGAAGTAGGGGAATGCCCACAAAACCCACAAAAAACATAGAGAGAGATCCGACACACACACACACACGCACGCACAATAAAAACCAAACAACGACACCGCCCACTGAACAGCTCCGGGGGTCTGCCAGGGCTGGAATCATCGGAGCCTCTGGGAGTGGGACTTTGATTCCAAGATAGAGGCCTTAAGAGGGCTTAGGGTTTAGGGTAAGGACTACGTTTGATGATATAAATCCTGCATGACCATTAACGACCGAAAACTATGGGAATTATGGCAAAATCCTTATTATGGGTAGTGCAGGATTTATACCATCAACCGTAGAATAGGGTTTCGGTGTACCTTATGGTTTAAAACATCTGGGGACCGTAAGGGAACGCTATTCGTTTAAATTAGTAGCTGTTCCGACCCCTATAGCTTGCGGGTATCTAAATGCTTAGTTTTGCCATAAGCACGGGAGGATTGTGAAGACCATCCTAAACCCTAAACCCTAAAGCCTAAACCCTAAATGCCACACTTGTGTTGGGAACATGTCAGCTGCCCTCGTTCCCAGTCTGGGCTTGGAGATCTTTCGTGGGATTAAAGAGAGATCCCTTATAGAACCCTATAGAACCCTTTAAAGGAACCCTAATAGCATCCCTTATAGAACTCTATAGAACCCTTTAAAGGTGGCAGGGAAGGGAAGGTCACCCGAGTTTTAGGCTGTCCGGAATGCTCGCATCGCAACGGTTGGCTGGGCTGTGGGGTGTCGCAATAGTAGCATCGGAGCCTGAAACCATCTGCACGATTCCTCCAACCTTGGGTTTAGGATTGAACTGGGGCCTGAATTGTGACACCCGCAATCCCAACCTAACCCAAACTACACAAACTCCTTCGGCTGTAACGTCTAGCTACCCTCAAACCCAACCTTGTCCACAGAAAAACTCTCTAACTCGCTGAGTCCTGAAAGACTGGCAGCAGCAAACCCGAAGACGCCCGGTGCATCCGTCAATGGATCCTACGCTACTTGAGCTGTCAGGTACGCAATCACACCCCAACCTTTCATTCGGGGCACACTCCCCCCCGCCTGCCCGGCTGTTGACAACCTGGTCATGGGCAAGAACCGAAATCTGGAGTGGTAAACCCTTAACCCTGAACTCCAAAACCTAAACCCGTCGACAGAAAAGTTTTTGAGGCCTGAGGTCCAGGGCTGGGACTGCCAGACTTCTAGGCGGAGACATCTGTGACGGGAACAGCCGTGTATGAACGTAAAGGGATGTGTACAGACGAGTGTATACTTGCGCCTATGTTGTAGCCATAGACAGAGACAAAAACGAGGGAGATGGAGAGGCAGAGAGAGATAGTGAGGTACATATGCACTACAGTAACTACCTAGCTAGACAGATGTATAAACACAAACACACACACACACACACACAAAGTCTCTCCCTGAGTCCCACACACACGCACGGAGAGCGACGTGCCAGCAAGTGCACCGGACCTACAACCCTAAACCCCTAAACTAGGGAAGGCAAACTTTCTAGAAACCTTCGCACGAAGACCCGGAACGGGAAGAGTAAGCAATGGCCCTTGCACTTGGATGGTCTCCTACCTTTGATTCCGGGAATGCTCCTCGAAGATCGGACTCACTGGGAACCCCGAAACACCTAAGCCCGATGCTCAAAGCTCCACTTTCCCCTGGAAGCTTCGACATGGGAGTTTCAGAACGTAAGGAAACTCCAAACACCCTAAACCCTGCAAACCCTAAACCCCGGATCAGGGGATCCTTACTGTCGTGACTTAGAGCTTACACTCTCACCTCTGTCAGCCGCAAGTCGGCGTGAAGCTAAGTAAGGCCTCCAGGGTCATGCGCCCTACAAAGGGACCATGACTTGAATACCGAGACCCCCAGGGATAGCACGACGAGCCACACGCAGGGTCGAGTCGTCGAAGGTGGAGACTTCCGGAGCGAGCAGCCCAGCGTGTGGAGGACCGCCTCCATTGGGGGCTGCAGTAATTGGGGGCAATTGACTGTGTAGACCTACAGCCATGTGGGGCAAACTCGGAGACCCAAGCTTCCTCTTCTTTTCCGGACATCTGCCAGAATCGCGGTACAGGAACGACAAGGTAGCTGGGAGACGCACAGTGCGCAGACCCGCCCAATGCTTGATAGCAGGCTTGCGATACCTGGAAATGCACGCACGTTGCTTCTACATTCTACGAGGTCCAACCTTCAAGGGGCACACTGAATGTGACTTACTCAACGTGCAAAGCAATCGCACACAGCCACCTGTCTGCCCTAATTATGCCCAGGGAGGGCGGCGCCCGATGTCCATCGAGCTTGGTGCTGCCTGACCATCTGCCTGAAAGGGTCCTACGCCCTAAGGCCCCAGGGGTCCAAAGCCAAATCCTACAAATGGCCCCCTGGGGTCAGGTCGACCTGTACAGAGGGGGGGAATCCGAGATCCTGTCGTCTCTTTACAGAAGGTGCCACTATAGAGGCCCTGAGGTTCCCAGGCCTCTCGGATACTTTGCTTCAAAACCACATCACAAGGTCGCGAAGAAGGCAAGGTCTCCTGCGAAGTAGCCAGAAAACTCCCCTACATACCTCTGAAGTGCCCGAGGTTCGCAGAGACCTTACGACCTCGCACTCTCTGCAACGAGAGAAGATGGCGCAGCGACAGGAAGCATGCCAAACGAGGCTTGCGCCCAGCTTCTTCTACTCCGCTCAGACCCAAAAACCTTCAAGCGAATTTCTCGGGTCATGGACAGCGTGCCTCCAGATTCTCTGTACGCCGAGGTCTCAAGTCGCATCACTAAATAAAGAAAACGAAATCGACTGCTCTGACTCTGTGGGCTGAGTCCCCATGCTGTGCGTGATGGTGGTGTAGGCATTTAAAGGGTCAGAATGATGGGGGAGGTAGGGAATCTCAATCCTGAGCAGGGTCAGACAGCTTAGCNNACGAACCTGTGGCAGGCCAGGACTGGATCCATGTCGAAGACGTCACCCACCAAGGTGTACGCGAGCGATACGCTCAACACAATCGCTGCCACCACTGCGTAGTAACACCTGTGCCTCCATTCCCGCTTGCGTCTTTGAGCGTGGCTCTTCTGGCTCGGAAGCAAACGCAGGATGAAGAGTGGCACGAGGATGAGGGCATAGGTCAGGGCGTAAGAATAGCCCACCGTCCAGCGGAAGGCCGGTGTATCCTCCACGAAGTTGTCTTGATCGTAGAGCGCTGGCTGGAACAACCCGAAAATCTGGTTCCCCAGCAACAATCCCAGCGGATTTGCCACGTTGTTGATGGTGGTGAAGAGCCCTGCCATCAAGCCACAATTGGAACTGTCGGCCAACTCGTTCACAATGAAGCTGCTGACAAGAACAGCCATGGACTCGGGCACAGCACTGACGACAGACTCGCCAAGGAAGAAGTACTCGTTTCGCACCACACCAAAGATGGTCAGAAACGTCGGAATGGCATCCAAAGCTACACCAACGACCGTGGCGACCACCATGATCTTTCGCCAGCTTACATTCAGCATGTACTTCTGCAAGAGCCAGCTGCCGAACAAGGATGCGAAGACGCCAAGCATGGAGCACAACTGCATTTGCAAGCTCTTCACACCGGCCCACTCCATCATGACCCACATGCCCGCTGTGGTGAAGAGTTTCGCGATCACACCCCTTACGAAGTAGAAGAGACCAACGCCGGCAACCGCCCTGCTCTGAAAGAGACCCCATGCGGCATGGAAGTACTGCCGCATCGAGACACGAACCCCTCGTCCCTCGCGAACATGGCGANNATCATGGAGACCACGGCGAAAATGGAAACGTACTGTCTGTAGCCGAGCTGGTGGCGCTGATCCCATGAGCCGTTGAACAGCTTGCCATTGAAGCCGAAGCCGGCCACCATCAGCGACGAAAACGACCCGACCAAACCGACCATCTCCTCATTTCCCCAAGAAACAGAGCAGCAACCGACTGAACCTTCCTAATTAGGGCTTCTGGGTTGAGGTATCAGGGCTTCGAAATTATGCCTAAACTCTCCAAACGGTACCAGAGAAGAACACTGAAACGTTGAAACGTTCGAAAGCTAAGTTTCGAGCATCGTCTGCGTTCGGCCGCGGCACTCCTCATCCTCAGCCTTGGCATACCTTTCTGGTGCTTAAGTGGGAGTGCAGGAACGGAAACCCCAAAACCTGCAAGCCTTGAACCAAAAAACCCTAAATTTAAGCACCAGCGGGATACTCGACAATCAAACCACGACCCGCAGCTCCACTCACCAATAGGCCGATGTTCGCGGAGAAGAGACAGATCGCCAAGGGCACGTAGAAATAATCCGAGTCTGGGTTGCAGGGCAGTTGATAGTAGAGATACCCCCCATCCGGTCCGGCACAGAAGTACGGTTCAGGAAGCCCCATGCAAGCCATAGTGGAGTAGGCAGTTGTGGTTATAAGCCAGCCCAGCACCATGTAGGGCCTGCGGCGATACCCGAAGATCGGGCGAGAGTCCGACACGACACCCATGAAGACTGACAAGACATTCGGAAGCGAGGACATGTTCTGCAGACCTCGGATGATGTCGCTGGGGACGTGCAGATAGCCTGCAACCACGCCCATGAGGAAGGCGTTGAAGCCTCCGGAAACGAAGCCCAAGCACCAGCAATGAATGACGATGCCCCAATTCCCAGGATCATAGAAGTCAAACTCAAAGTGGCTCTCCACCTCCGATGCCCCCTTTTCCATAAAGTCCACGTCGGTGCTTGGCGAGTTCTGGCTCTTCCTGGGCGGCTCTGGTTAGGAAAATAATCAACTTTAAGTTACCATGAACGGGATCTCTAGGAAATTATATGGGTTTCTCCTTACGTTATAAGGTACGTTAAGTACTCGGAAACACGACAAACCTTCCTAAACCCTGTAGGATCCCCGAAAACCCTCGATAGACATGCTAGCCGCTAGCCTGATTTTAACGAAAAAAATATTGTTATCATTGCTATTGGATATTGATGTTGTTATTGATATTTATAGTAAAGAAAAAGATCCTCAAGAAGAGCTGGGCTTCACGGTCGCGACACTCTCCTCCTCGACGTGGGCTGGGACGGCGTCTGTCATCGTGGCGGTGCAGCCGTGGAAGCACGCGATAGTCACTATACGGACTTGAGCCGCTGGCACTTGAGTCGGGATTTCGGGCGTGTAGGATCCGAGGTTAGGTCTGAATCTAAGGGCTGTCAGCACATGTCGTGCTGCATGCCGGTTATTTTTTTTGAGGGCTTTCAGTGTTTCGGGCTTTAGGGCTTCAGTGCTTTGGGCTAGAAGAAAACAGCAAGTCGGACAAAGCAAACACTGACTGAAGACAAGGGCCAACCCTCTCCCTGTCGGAGACATGTTATCCAAGGCTACAAAACAGAGGACCAGCGATCAGTGAGATGCGCCCTAAATCCAAAACCCCAAGCCCTGTGGACTGCATCTCCACATAAAGCTTGCCTTTCCTTTTCCGGACGTCTGCCAGACTCGTACCAGAGAAACGGGCAGGGAGCGGGCAGGTCTTCCACAAGTTCATATTATAGCATGTTCTCTTGTGTTATCTTATAACATACAATTACCATATTACATTATTGCTTCTACGAGGTCCAATGGCTTAGGGCTCGAATAGCTTTGGGGTCAAGGTGTTCTTTGGGGCCTAGGCGTCACTTACTCGAGCTGCAGCCACTCTGGAACCCCAAATACGGTCGGCAACATGCATTCGTCCAGACTCTGTCTGCAACCCGTCTGCCCTAATTGGTAAAGGGGGCTAAATAACTACCTATGCTATTTTGGTGTTCCTTACTATGAGTATAGTAGAATATACCCCAAAGCCCTATTCTAAATTATTACGGCCCCCACATGAAGCCCAGGGAGGGTGGCGCTCGATGTGCAGCCATCGAAACTGGTGCTGCCTGACCTTTCACCTTGAAGGTTCTTCCACGCTTCAAGGCCCCAAGGGTCCAAAGCCAAATCCCACAGTCCTCTAAACGGGTAAACGGTTTTGTGTCAAAGTTTAGGGTTCAGGGCTTTTTTCCCTCCCACTTCAGGGCTTAGGGCTTAGGGTTTAGGGTTTAGGGTTTATAAATGAACCTGAAGCCACGACCACGAACCGAGAATCGGCTGACTCTATGTTGTGTGCACTTTAGACCCATTGGGTCAGGTCGACCTGTACGGAGTGGTGAATCCGAGATCCTGTCCTCTCTACAGAAAGGGCCAGGAAGGGCCCTGGGATCGCGAAGCATCTCGGATACTTTACGGGTTTGAAAATCAAATCGCAAGGTCGCGAGGAAGGCAAGGTCTCTTGTGAAGTGGCACAAACCCTCCTTGCCCTCGAAGTGCCCACAGTCCGGAGAGACCTTACGACCTCGATTTCTACCTCGCAATTCGCGCAACGAGAGAAGAGGGCGTGGTGATAGGAAGCATGCGAAGCGAGGCTTGCACTCAGCGGCTGCTACTCCGTTAAACCCTTAAACCTTGAAACGAATTTGTCGGGTCATGGACAGCATGCCTCCAGATTCTCTGTACGCCGAGGTCTCAAGTCGCATCATTAAATAAAGAAAAACGAATTCGACTGCTCTGACTTTGTGGGCTGAGTCCCCATGCTACCCAGGATGGTCAGGCGTTGAAGTCTTAAGGTGTCAGAATTCTGGTGAACTGGGAACATGAAGAACCTCAGTCCTGAGCAGGGTCAGACAGCTTGGCGGCCTGGTTGCAGCCCCCACCGCCCACGAACCTGTGGCAGGCCAGGACTGGGTCCATGTCGAAGACGTCACCCACCAAGGTGTACAGGAGCGATGTGCTCAACACAATCGCTGCCACCACCGCGTAGTAACACCTGTGCCTCCATTCTTGCTTCCGTTTTTGGGCCTGGTTCTTTTGGGTCGGAAGCATCGGCAGGATCAAGAGTGGCACAAGGATGAGGGCATAGGTCAGGGCGTACGAATAGCCCACCGTCCAGCGGAAGGCCGGTGTATCCTCCACGAAGTTGTCTTGATCGTAGAGCGCTGGCTGGAACAACCCGAAAATCTGGTTCCCTAGTAACAGGCCCAATGGGTTTGCCACGTTGTTGATGGTCGTGAAGAGCCCTGCCATCAAGCCACAATTCGAACTGTCGGCCAACTCGTTCACGATGAAGCTGCTGACAAGAACTGCCATGGACTCGGGCACAGCGCTGACGACAGACTCGCCAAGGAAGAAGTACTCGTTTCGCACCACACCAAAGATGGTCAGAAACGTCGGAACAGCATCCAAAACTATGCCGGTGACTGTCGCGACCAGTATGATCTTTCGCCAGCTTACATTCAGCATGTACTTCTGCAAGAGCCAACTTCCGAACAAGGATGCGAACACGCCAAGCATGGAGCACAACTGCATTTGCAAGCTCTTCACACCGGCCCACTCCATCATGACCCACATGCCAGCTGTGGTGATGACTTTCGCGATCACACCCCTTATGAAGTAGAAGAGACCAACGCCGGCAACCGCCCTGCTCTGAAAGAGACCCCATGCGGTATGGAAGTACTGCCGCATCGAGACACGGTCCCCATGTCCCTCGCGAACATGGCGAATGCAG